GGCGGAAGAGAAGCAGACATGTCCTTTCCCCATTGAAACTGGCAGGACAAACAGATGCAAAGCGGCTTTTAACTCACATTTAACCAAGTTATATTCTATTTGTACTTCCTATCATGCAGTTTTGCAAGTTGACCTGAAAAAATAGTTTGCTCATCTCAAATTTACCTGTGCTACCAAGGAGGATGGATTGAGATATTGAAGTAATATCAGCCTAATTCAAATGGAGCATTAGTACGATACTCCTAGAGGGGGAATGATTGAAAGATTAATATAGTGATCTTTCAGAAAGCAGCAACTCGTAAGGATTCACCTTGCAAAAATGTAGGCACTGGTACCCAAGGAAAAAACAAAACAAAACAAAAGGATGCTCAAGAATTGCCAGTCTCTGGAAGTCTTCTCAAAAAGAAGTTGCCTTTGCATACATCCATTATCTCTTAAACCACCAGGAAACCTCATGTATAGTATATTTATAAATATTGTAGCAGTGGTAGTAGGTAGCAGGGCTGAAGAAAATAGAAAATCCTGGGGTTGGTGTGTAGCTTTAGGGAATTTATTAATTCCTCTTCTGTATTTTTTGCATGTCATTTGGTGGCGGTAGTGGTGCATATGCCCAATGTTAAAACTAAATGCATGAGCCCCTTGCTTGATGCCCCACATAAAGCCAGATACTGGGGAGGTTGCACCCAACTTTTGTTGTTGCTTCCTAATGTCTTGCTGTTTGACATAGGCTATCAGTATCGCAGGAGACTGGATATCACCAACTAGCTTGCTATCCACTGTTAACATCAAATTCTAATCGCACGATTTACAACACTGTCCAGTCTCCTTCGAATGCGGTGTCTTTGCTATATTTTGCACCTTACTAAGATTCAGAGCAGTTACGGTCAATAGTGTGGTAAGAGCTCACAGAGGCACTCACTTTTTCATCACAATGGAATACGTAAACTAAATTCTGGTACAGCCAGAGATGGGCACTTGCTCTGAGACCTCAAGTCTCCGTGTGCTTATGTATTTCTAGTACTGGCACTTCTGGCTCATTCCCTTTAGGGATATGCATGCTTTCTTGGCCTAGGGGACACACATGTTACTGTGGGCTGAAAACTTCTGCAAATTTAGAGCACCACTTCAAGTGCTACAGAAATAATTGAATTCTGTATGCCAGCATGATCTTTCAATTGCATAAGGAAACCAATACTTGATACTATGCTACGGAAAGCATGCAACCAGATTCCATAAATTGTTACCCCTTGGAAAAGTTATTTGTTAAATTGTCTCAGCGTGAGCCTTTTACTTTACTATGACCTTGGCAATGGCTTTGTTCCTGTTATGTCTAACTAACGTCTTGCATTTTTCTCTTTTCATCTCCTTTTGATGCAACCTGGAAGAAATGTCAAAAAACGAAGGTTCGATCCAAGTCAACAAGGGCCTATCTGAAGGAATGCGATTCAAAAAGCTGCTTCTTGCACTATTGGATTTGGGTACGATGTCTTTGCTGTAGCTGCACAGGAACTAAATCAGTAAGGAAGAACATGAGAAATAGTAACTATAAACACAATGTTGGGATGTTAAGATTTGAGGTGGTAGAAGACTGTCCTTTTTGGAGATAAGTTTGAAATATTTCCTCCATTCACCTTTCTCTACTTAAAATTAACTGACAAGTGTTACAAGCAAACTGTTTCAAAATCAGGTGGTTTTTTCTTTCCTCAAGCAAAGGAGGAGACATACAGACCAAGTGCAATAAGAGAACTGTTCCAAAACAATGAAATAGCGGAAGATTATTTTCCCAGCCTGCTGGCACTCTAACTTCACTTGAGTTCGCATGAATTCCTTTTTCTTATCAAACTCCAGTGGCATGAGGAGCTAATTGTGAAAGGGTAACCTGCATGGCTCACATACAACCAATCAAGCTAGCAAGCTGACCCCAAGCAGAATCTGCAGCCCAATAAATACAAACCACTGGGAAGCTGTTAGCAGGCTCCGATAGCTTTCCCAGCCACGCAGTGCATTCTGCTGCTGGACTTCACAGTTCCCTGCTCTATGAGCTCGCTGTCCACCTTGTTTTGCTCTCCTGGACCAGGAGTCTGTTGGGTATGGAAGCTATCGAGTGATGGATGTAATTCTTCCAAGAAGGAAAATGTGTAAATATGGAAATAAGATATTGACGTATCATTTTCACAGATTATATATAAATATATATATATGAGGGAAAAGGATTTCCATATAAAAAGGTTCTATTCTTTATGTAAATCTATTTTTGATGTTGGGTTTGGTTTTGGGTTTTTTTTCTCCCCTTTTTTCCCTGTAGCATGTTGTACAGCGGATGTTCTGGGCTTGCTCAAAAAAGGCAGATAATAGCATGCAGATGCAGGGAGTTCTGACACCAAACAGATGTGATCTAAAGTTTGTATGCTTGAAACCAAAACCAATTAAAATGTATAAATGCATATCTATGTATTGACTATAAGTCTGGATTACTTTTTTTTGGCTGTTACACAGATTTTCCATAATGTAATGTAAGATAAGTGACACCCTCTCAAACAATTCACAGAAGTGCCAAGCTTTTATTTTATTTTTAACTATGCCTACTTTTTTCCTGTCTGGATCCTGTGAAATAAAACTTAAATAAGCCTTAAAATACTCACAAAATGTTAAAAGCTTGGAACGAGTTATTCTTCTCTTGCCTTCTGCCCACACACCCAAACGGGCTTGCAAAGGTGACTGACATTTCTAACACTCCCTGTATCTCTGATGCATCTCACTCTTGAAAATGTAATGCAAAATTAATACTTTGACCCTTGGCTATGGCTAGCCAGTTACCACCACCAAGTGTGCAAAATCCCATGTAATTTCAGGGGGTTGTGCACCAAAATTACTTCTAGATACACCTTGTGTACAAACACAGGTTTTTGCAGAGAAGTGCTGGGCTGCAGTACTGTTCCCTGGTAAGCCGGCGAGCCTGCGCGTGTCCAGCTTGAGAAAGGTACGAAGGTGTCAAGTTTAGGCCTCCCTTAAGGAGCCTGTACAGTCTGGCTCATCCTTTTCACCTTGATTTAAAACTTAGGTATTTCAGTATGGGTAAGTGAAGCAACCTGAAAGTTTCATTGCTGCATCTGATAATCAGAATTTAAAACCTTTTGTGATTAAATTTAAAGGTTGGATATTAGTAACAACAGACGTCCAGTTACACTACTTACTCCACCTTTGTTCAGTGGAAATCCATTTCCTGAGTTAGCTTTAAGATCCAGAACATTAAGAAAATGCTGCAGATTTCCTGTGACTTACAAAATCTCATTTCAATTATATTTCTTATTATGATAATGTTCAATCCAACAGTCTCAAGAGAACTACAATATATTGTTTTCATTGACAGTTATTATTAAACGTTTTTAAACAGCTTTAACATAATCACATTAACACTTACTACGTTATGAGTTAAAGGTGCTGCACACAGGTAGTCAACATTGATATATTATTAATCTTACTCTGAAAAATTCCTGCCTGGCTTCAGGCAGAACAAAGTTAGTGACAATACTGTTATGGCAAACCAAAAATACTCTCAAACTGTATTACTGTCCTCTAAAAGTACTTTGCTTGGGAACATAATCCCCAACTTTGTTAGGGTTCTGCTTCCAAAGCAAATGTAACCCCCAACAGGAACACTAGTGGTTACCAAAAATTAAAATAAGTAAAATCAACTGGATATACATAAACTACCTGTGTAATAAACCTTTGAGAAGCATTTCACAAACAACATTGTTGGTGTGTGATGTGATGTTTTAAATCAGACCACAGTGGTCCCCAACTACTATGTACATATGTTCAGTGCTGGAGTAACTTTTTTGTTTACACCAGCGGTTTCATAGGAATTATGATTTCTTGACTGAGTTTATGCTCCACGCATCGGCCATTGTGCATATGTGGAAGAACATATTTGCTTTCTGCCCTGTGTGTACAGAACACACATGACAAGCCCGCTCAGGGTAGGTAAAGGCTGGCGTGCTTTCTGTGGTGGTAGACAAAAAATTGGTTTTGGTAGATGTTGATTTTCTACATACTGCTTTTGCTGTGCTTTGGGAAGTACGTATGCATTTACTGTTAATTTGTTCATCGCAAAGCGTCATCCAAAGAAGACCTGGTCGACACTGCCTCCATTTCATCCACTCTACCTTTGCCCCATTATTTTTCTGTTCACCTGGACAAGAAACTGTGGTAACTGTATAGCTCCTTCCAGTTTGCTGCATGATCTCACTGATTTGATCTGATCCTCCTAAAAGAGGTGTCTGCTAGGCAAATTAACAGCTGTATAGGTGCATGTTAAAAGAAACAGATTACTTAAGGCTGGAGTTTAACCAATTTTTCTTTACTATGCAAAAATGGGTATTGCACAAACAAATTTAAGACAAACGTCTGAGGAAATGCCATAGAATACTTGAAGTTATGTTTTAGGCCTAAATCAGTCTTATTTTATATTCATTATTGCTTCCACTGTTAATCTTCCTTTTAAAAATGATTTGTAATTATTTTTTTAAGTGCACAACTGGATATTATAAATCAGTTTTTGTTTGAAGTTAATACTCATTCATATTTTGTTGGCTGCTAATGAATGGAAATTCAGTAGTCCTTGTTCTGCATCTTAGCAAGATGAGTATTAAAAACATCATGAACCTGGAATGGAGTAGTTTTTAATTTTCAATCATTTTTTCCTTATTTATTCCCCCCATTTTATTTAATTTCTGTGTTCAAGACAGCACTACCATCACAGTAGTGGAAATTGACTGGGGTTTTCTTTTATGTCTAAAACCGTGTCCCATCTCACAGCGAGGTTCTCTCCGCGAGAGGACACTGCGTGCAGGCTTTCCGGCGTGCGTGGGACCAGCGCTGCAGCACGCAGGGCTGAGCAGAGCTACAGCAGGAGGGTTGCTGGGCCTGCTTCCATCCCAGCGGCTGGCTTCACCGAGCTGGATGAGACCTGTATGCGCTAGTTAGCTGGGGGAAGCCTTTTGCAGTTCAAAAATCTGAATTACATAATTATGTACAAGTCTAAAATGATGTAATTTTCAAAGTATTTTGAAGGCCTTATACACCCAAATAGCATGGTCATCATTTTAATGGGTTATTGAAGGAAACTCAGTTTGCCTTTTTGTGTTTTCGCCAGACTAACTCTAGCGAAGCCCGCCTGGGAAAACTAAATGCATGCGCGACACGGTTACCAAGTAACTACTGATATTTTTGTGCTTTCTCCAGCTCCAGACAGGGAAACAAAACAGTCTTAATATCTCCCAAGGTTATGTATGAAAGCATGTTTCTCATGTAGAACTACAGAGTGAGGGAACACAGTCATTAATGGATCCACAATCATCCACTTTTCTTTCCTGTCATCTGAATATAGGACAATTTATCTGTAAACTCAATATGAGCATGCAACATTTTGGCTATAACCATGGCAGACAGTCATTCCTGAAACAGGAGGTAAGCCTTTTGCAGTATATGAATCCAAAAGCAACATATAGATAGAGGCGTACCTGCTTTTGATTTTACAAGAAAAAAAATCCTAAAATTGTTTTTGAAAAATGCCACAATTACAGCATGAAATACTGACGAGTGATCTTGCTGGGGCACTTACTATTAAGAACAAAACCAGCACAACACAACAGCTAGTCATGTTGTACAAACCCGAAACCCCCTCTTTTGTTCTAGATGCACTTCCTACAGATTCCTACCCACGGGAGCTGAAAAATTTAGTGTGAATCATCCATCAGAAATAAAATAGAGACTGTTTAAGTGCCCTCAGAAAGCTTGAAGAAAAAAATTATATAAGTAACCAGGAATTCTAGTAGTAGTGATGCTCAAGCTAATACTATTGAAGCAAAAGGTCACACAAACATTATCTTAAAGCTGCACATACTGTAATTCAGTTCATAGATTCATTGTTCAGAACTCAGCAAGCACAGCAGCACATCTTCACATTTCTGTAGGTTTGTTGAATAAGTTATTTAGTGGAAGCGTGCAACACAAGAGGACACATGGCCTCTAGGTACATACAAGGACCCCACGTCAGACCAGCACAGACATCCACTTTACATGTATTATTTCTGAGCAACCACAAACTGCTGAAGGTAGCATAATTCAGAACACACTAATTTGTAGGAACCCAGTAATGGAGTGTCAGTCTATTTGTTCTTGTTAAAATTTTCTTTTAAAAGAGCTTGGTTTTATATAACAGGCCATGCTGTAGTGTGGTACTTTCTGAGCCAGTACCAGAACTTCCCCACCAAAGTTGGTAACTCAAAGCATGAAGGAACTAACAATGTTTTTTACCTGCTCTTGCATGCAGCACGCAGCTGCGCACATTGTACAGCCCAGAGGGAAGCTGCTCCCGTCAGCATAGACCTAACCAATGCCTCAGTCTCCTAGTAGTCCCCCCACAAAGGCTG